ATGTGCGAAAATCGCTCTGGAATCTCGAGGGTTCCCGTTGTTCAACAGATTGTTGGCGGTACGCACGGAACGAACGGACAAACGGACGCGCTAGACGACGCTCCGTAGCGCGAAAAGTTTTCGTTCCCGCGGGAAACGCGTTCAACGAACATTTGCATTTTTTTCCCCCGTACAAGAACCACGACGAGAAATGTGCGCCCCCGGAACCAATGGCAATCCCGTGCTAAACGTTTTCGTTATATTTTCATTGGAAATCGATATGGTACGAATGAGAAAAGCGATAAAATCGACACCGAAAAGTACCGAACCGCGGTTGGTGCTATCCAGACTCGGAACGCATTTCGCGTTCAAATCGTTTCCAAGCCATTTTTTTTTTTTTTTTTTTTTGAAAAAAACCGATCGAAAGAAAAGGAACACTTTGAAACCCGATGCGTGTAACAATGTCGCAGCGTTCGCGCGTCATTCGGTTTGCGTCCGAAAGCGCTTTTCGCACTCTTAAGGTGCGTTTACACTACGGCCGTGAACGCGAACGAACGCGAATTCGGTTTACTAACGATTAAGTGCAAACAGTACGCCGAACGCGAACGAACGGCCATTCGTTCGCTTTCGGTGCGGTTCGATCGGTTAGCGGTTCGATCAAAAGAAACGACATTCAGTGTGAACGTCACAACGGATTCGCTTGTGTTCACCTGCATTTGAGGGTTTAATAATCAACTGTTTTTTTGGTACCACATTTATTTGCAAATTAATTGACAGATGGTTGAATATTAATTTATAATTATGGATTTCTCTGACGATCAATGTATCACGCTAATTAATTTATACGAAACGCGTCCTATCAAAGCGGGACCCATCAAATCCTAAGTATAAATTAACGAAACTTAAAATCGATTTTTGGCTCGAAATAGCAAGCGATATTTAATGATTCCATGATCACGAAACTAGCACATGGCATTAGTCCTCGCTTGAAGACATTATTAAAAATTTTATTTTATTTTAAAAACACAAACAGTATTAAAAATCAATGTGTGCTATACTTATTTACATAACAGTTGAATGTAATACTAAATAGTATTTTGAAACTCGAATTCCGAGCTAAGGCAAGCGAATGCTGACGAATGCTGAAGAACGAACACGAACGAATAGTCTGCACGGTGAGACCAAATCTTTACCGAATTCGCGTTCGTTGGTGTTCGATCGCGTTCACAGCCGTAATGTAAACGCACTTTTACACTATTATCAGCGTTTATAAATTTTATTTTTCAAACCAAACATTTTTGTATCGAAATTTCGTCCAAACCAACATTTTCTCTGATGGTGTACCGCTCGAACCTGGCGAACCTGAACGAACGACGCCGAGCTGGTCGTCACACGTCACCATTCGTTGCGTAGCGTAGACGTGGTTTTGGCCTCGCGTCGTAGGAATCGAGGCCGCGTGCGCGACTCGATAATACATGCGGTGAGTCCAGGGGGAGCACTGAGGGCAAGCGTCATCCCGGTTGGAAAAAAACAGTATTTGAAAATAAAGTACACTCGGAAGAACTAAATAATAGGCAATAAAAATAAATGCCGTCGTTAATCATGGTCACATTATTTTATGTTTTTGGCGGAGTTCTAAGTCCCCTCCCTCCAAGATATTCCTACGCACGCCTACGACGATCGACTACATCATACGAATCCGCCCTTGTACCGCAATCAAATAACAAACCTTAAACAAAACACCCTTCGTACAGGTTATCCTTCCCCATCCGATTCGACAGCTTTGGTTGCGATAGATGACGAAATCCCTCGTTCTCGCGTGACCACAGTCGTGCGTGTCGGCGTTGTCCGAACGTTCCACACGCTGTCTAGCCGAAAGTGCCATTGTAAAACGAGATGGGACCTGACCGGCACCGCGACCCGCGATCGGACGATAGACATATCGAATAATATTCGTCGCGTTGCACACGAACAGCTATCGGATTGATCTGTCGCGGGCATGCGGTTTGATCGTCGTTACCGCGTTCGTTTATGGTTAACCGCGGTTAACGATTAGCTGACTCCCCCAGGACCACCGGTGATCGGGCCGACGAATCCGCCACCGAATCGCTGTCGGAGCGTTGCTGATTTCCGTGGCGCTCGTTAAGATCCGAAATGAACTTACCGAAAAAAAATTTACCTCCATAATCATTATTATTTTTTTTTTTCGTATAGGATTGAACGCGTAAAAATATCAAATTTCGAAATCGATGCGTCCATTCGTCCGCAAAACTGGAATCGTCAGCAGTTATCTGTTTTCCGTAATTTTTTTAATTTTTTGTCCTTCCCCGAAAACAGTGGTCCGATGCTTTCGGCTCCAGGCACGATTTGAACGTTAAAGGTTTTTGTTGAATCCACGCACAAGGTTCGATTTCAAAAACGTATAAATACGTAAAAATAGACGTTGATCATAATACGGGCATAGATGTTAAAGCACGATATTTTGGCGTTTAACGTTTAAGTTGTTTTCAATAGTTATTATCCCCCCTTTTTTTTTTTTTTACTCTTTCGCATTGTTTCAGACTATTCCCGGAAGACTCTGTGTTCATACGTACGAAAGTCGGTCAGCGGTGCGATGCAATGTCGGCGTTCAAGTGTCGCCACTGGTATTTAAATATTAACGCGGTTCCATTCACATTATTACATCGTGCAAAACGTTCACCATTACGTAAGCACTCGGAAAAAGGTTGCCAGCGCGTTATTACTAGACCTCCGTTTAAACGAAAATGCTTCAGAGTGGCCGCTGCGATTACAGCCTCGGAATTTTTATTTTTTTTTTTCGATTAATATTAAACAAACGGCTGTATATTTAGGGCCATCGAGCGGCTAGACCTTCGTAATACAGTCCTGCTCCGGGTCACATAACAGAGCAGCCTTTTTGGAGTACTCTCGACTCGCTTCGCTCATATTTGGTCGCTACTGCCGTCGTGTTATGTGGTCATTTGCGTGTTGTACACCTATGCTATTGTTAAACGTTTAAAATCAAATACAACGATCATAAATCATCGCATTCGGAGAACAGTTCAGAGAGGAGCCCGCGTGTATTTATGTCGTCTGTCAAATGTTAGTGTTCGCAAAACACCACATTGTTGTGAATAATGATTTTCTAGATTTATTTTAATATTGTAAGAATTCGTTGCAGTTGTGTCAGAACGTCGAGTCTTACATAATCGCCGAACGTTACAGATGTTATTAAAAATAATTATTATATGGTGGTAACATTTGGTGATGAAATAAATATGCACATGTAACTGACATTTAATTATTTCAAATTGTTGGAAAATAAAAAAAGTAATATTATCTCGACGATTATGGGTACAGATTTTTTGTAAACGTGTAGTGCCCAAGAACAGGGCCGGCGTGAGGGTAAGGCGACTCAGGCGATCGCCTAAGGTGCCATTTTCAGAGGGGTGCCAAAATTATTTTTTAAAATTTTGTGTATATGTCAGTAATATTTTTATATATTTTTTTTTTAACGTAAAATACCTATAACTTTGTATTGAAATATTGATAATAGTTAGGTTATTTTGTTTAGCCGTATATTAGAATAATATATTTTAAGTATATTTACTATGGTTTATCATAGAATGTTTTATCGTATATTTTGTTATAATTCCCAAATATTTGTTATCGTTCAATCGGGATCGCGTCGAGCCGTCGTGACTCGTGACTAAAAAATTAGACGATAAAAAATGATGTACAAGTTAAGCATAATATATAATTTTTTTTTAAGTATAATGATATTACGGGTTGTTATATGAAAAAGGCACCAGTTGGCATTTTGGCCTCGGGCGTCATTTAGCCTTACGCCGGCCCTGCCCAAGAATATCTGTATATATAATGAAAAAAAAAAAAACCTACACCGCGTCGTGTTGTTGTATTAAACCTAGTCTCTTAAATGTTACATAATTGGTATTCCTACGAAATATTTGACACATAGAAAAACATGTTCAATGGGCGAAAACGTTTTGAATTGTACCTACATATAATGCAAACAAATATAAACGTTAAGTGTATTGATTTTTTTTTTTTTTTAATTTGTTTAAAACGGCAACATTTGAGTGGTAACTTTCGAAATGGAAACGAGAATCTATTATTTTAAGCCGTGATTGATGTACTACAATTTTTCTATTCAGCTGTCGTGATCAATTTGAACGACCTTCCTTGTGTACATGAAAGTTTTGCACTGGTGCGAAAACCCTAAACAATAATCCTCGGGATAAAGTTATTTTTCTTCGATTGGAATTTGAAAATAATGATTAAAAACGTTAAAATATATACGATTTTCGTGTTTGGTCTCCTCGACTGTACTCATATCGTTCGAAAATATGTGACGAATACGGTCCGCAGATAGCGAGATGTTGTGTTTCTTTCCCCCTCCTCTGATTATTGTTTGCTGATGTTGTTTGACTTTGAATACTTGCATATTACATTTGACAATAATACAAACACGGCGAACGCGGTTATTTTCTCCCTTAAAAATTGCTTTTATAGCCAAGAAATATAATATCGAAAATATTATAAGTTCGTGTTTTTAAAGTATATATTTTTAGATGCAGACTATACACGGCGTGCCCGTAATATATTTACCTCTACACATTTATGAAAAAAAAAAAAAAAAAAAAAAAAAAAAAAAAACTGCAGTACAGCCGTCACGTATAGTTTTCCGACTTAACAATAATAAAAGGTGCGTTTAGAGGTTATGACAACTAAGCTCTAATTGTTTACTGCGCTCAACAATTATAACTATTTAGTGCGGGGCATTAATGATTATTCGTAAACGATAATCGACTAATTTTCTGTTCACATATTATATTTATACGTATAGAATTTTGAACGAATTAGTTTATTTTTTTTGTTTCAACACGTCTAAACGACAATGATTATTACACCAGTTCGTTTTTCCTCCTATAGTGTACAGGTATTATCGTAGTTGTTGGTCGTCTATACGTCGTCGACGTTTCCATGAGGTTAGTCACCATAAGAGAAAGAAAATTATTACTCGCTTGTTTTCCGATGGAACAATGACGTTTCATGATGATGATGACGATTCAATGATTGATTGATTCTACAGTTTTTCATCTCGCTACTAACGCGAATGATCTGAAACGTTGTTGTGTCGTTCGAAACGTCATCGTTACAGGTCTGTAGCAGTAATCTACTAAATATTACAATATAATAGATTGCTATGTACTATATTACTATATATTACTATATATTATTACACGATGTACGCACTATCGTTAATCAAGCATACTATGTCTATATTATTTATTGTAAACAGAAACAATGTTTTTCGCTTGAATGTTGTTAAAAAATTAAAAAAAAATAAATAAACAAATATAAACGCTTGTTGGAATATTATAGGTTAAACTATATTACGAAACTCGCAATAATAAAAAGAGATAAAGAACAATATGCACTGCTTGAAACACCTCCGCTTGGAACCAAATACATAATAACCGAGATTACAAATTGTTTGAAAAATAATTAATTGACTTTGACAATTCCACAACGGTTTGAGTACTAAATCCAAACAGTGGATTGCCTATTGTACGAAACAAAATGGATCAAAAGTACTTTTCACTCGTTTTGATGAGTAAAAAAAAAAAAAAAATTATATTCTTAATAGACGTAATGATTTTAAAATCTGAATTTTCCATCTTCAGTCGAGTCATCAAACCGTAAATTCAAGCAGTGTCATCAAATTATCGTAATTATTCATTGTGCACATAAAATACATTCATCATCATAGTTACAAATCAATAACTTGAATTATTTTCAAAGTATAGGGAATCACTTGTGCAACCCTTTTGGTTATTCACCGTTCAAACGCATATTATTACAATATGCCAGTATATCGTTAATGAAAATCTGTTTGAAATGTTTTAATAAATATGGAAAAAATATAAAACCTGCCCATTTGCGCTATGCACACACTGATATACAGGCATTAGTAATAAGCAAATTGATGAAATTCATTAATATTTTAATTAATTTGTAAGACAACATTTTCTATTCAATTTTTGAATGACATTTGTTTTATTCCGAATTCATAACTATAGACATATATATATATATATATATATATTTAATCAATTATTTCAATTCCGGAACAAATAATATTGGTCATAACAAGTGTACAATTAAAACTGGTATGATTTAAAAACACCAGGACTAATTATATTTTAAATGTGTTTCATTAACATGCCCGTCTTATATTTTAATTTACATGTAAATTACATATTTTCTTGTTCATTGTTTACGTGTAAATACTAATCAAATGTTATATTTCATTAAGAAATATATTAAAAAGTTGTAACGTTGAATATCAAAAAGTTTTATAAAAATAAAAAATCAATACCAAAACGTTGCATTTTCTGTACACACCGGATAAAATACCTATATTTAGAACTTCTGTTCTATCAAAATATAGATACTACAATCATTGCCATGTCTATAAAATGTGATTATATTTATATTGTTTAAAAGAATATAGAATTAATATGATGCTTAAATTTCGTAATTATGAAATTAGCCAGTTAGGTTTAGTGTTAACATCAATTCAAGTATATCCCCAAGTATACTACTGTTGATGAATAGCGTGATAATCGATATTTGAAAATGAAAACAGTTTTAAAGTCTTATTGACACTTTTGTGAATGTTTTATTACATTTAATTATAAACGCATTAATTACTACGATAGCGTGTCCAATCAATTTTATACGAACGGTAGATTAAAACGAAAGCGCAGTATCAGCGGCAGTATTATTATTGGTCACCGTTAATTTTTTTATAGGACAGATTTGTGTTTACGTTCAATAGGAAAACGTTAAACGGTCCAGTATTTATCAATGTTGAGATGCCCCGTATGCGCTCATGAATTATTGATGTAACAAACGCACATAATCTATGTCCAAATATGGCGACTCGTGATTACAGGCGGACCACCGCTTTTAATCATTACACGTAAGTCACGATAAATATAAATTTATAATACGTACCTGTGTGTATCGCATATGAAATTCATTCGAGTACAACGATGGGCTTGATAGTATAATGGCGTGACAGTATTGTACGGCGTAGATCAGCGAATACGGTAATAACTGTTTATTATAGCGCTATAAAAATAAAGGAAATCTCCTATTGGCTAGTACATAGCTAGTAGATATATTTTATTGTCGTTAAAATTCCGACGGAGATTCGGTTTTTTTCCGAGAGAATTTCATTTGAAAAACATCGTAATCGATTCCTCACGTAAAACGGGCTTAACGTTCGCCAAGTACGTGCTCTGAAAAAGTTTTCGTGTCTACGAACAGACATGTATATGGCTTATTAGTTTAAAAATTAAATACATTTTTTATCGGCGCGCCGAAAGATAATGTAAGTATCTGAGCGCGTTAAAATATTTCACTATGTTAATAATGCAATTTGTTTTTTTATCCAATAAAAAAAAAAACACCGTTGAACAGCGTATAACAGAATTAACGATGGAAACAAAAAACAACTACAAAATAAAAGCCTCCCCAGACGATGACGTCGATGATTATGTATTCCTTCGCATTTCGTAGTTTGATTTTCAACGTTTTTTTAAATTTTTTTTTTATCCTATTTTTATTATGTTTTCCCATTGGGAATGTTTTGACGGGTAATACATAATACTACATAATAATAATACATAATACCACATAACCCTGTTTGTGTTCGAAACATTCTGTAGAAGAGTAGGAATTATAAGCTCCTAACGATTACATTATACGCTCATAATTGTAAATGATTACAAAAAAATCATATTAATACTGGACAAGACAATTATCTTTAACGTCCCGCAATAAGAAATGTTACGTACAGTATTGAGATTGTAACATTTTAAATTTCATCTTATCTAGATAACATTTTATTCAAGTAATCTATTGTTCATCTAAAATGAAGAAAAAAACACGTATCTAAATAAATTTATTAATCGATAAATTTAATCTTAAATGCAGACAATTTTATATCCATGAATAATGTTGAATTGTCATGAATTAGTTAAAATTAATAAAACTATTTTAGGAACAGCGATTTACGTGTTGATAAAATTAATTTGAAGAATAAACCATGTATGTTTATAAACAATTGAGCATTTTTCAACTAAACGTCTTAACGTTTTCGGTTAATTGACAAGTTTGTAACATTTTCACAATAAAAAGTAGGTACCTATTTTGTATGATCATAATTTATGTACTAATAATATTTTTTTAAATCAGTTTTCAGTAGGTGTATTAATTTGTTTTCATGAATAAATATAAGGATGGTATGTCAAAAATTAGTATCTAGTAAAATAATAAACATTTATTTACAATGTTATAATATTTTGATGATTAAGTTATACAACCTTAACGTTATGAATTCTGGGTATAATGATTTGATTCAATATGTAAGATCTTGGAAGATGACTAAACAATTTAATTTAAACAAAACTTATCATATTCACCTATAAACAATAAAAATTTTTTGTATCGATATGTAAAAAAAAACGAATATGTCTATTTTATTATCTAGATTATAACGTTTTATTATTATCTTCATCTATATAGAAATAATATTTTATATCTCTATCTGTATGTAGATATTTATTTATTTTTTGTTATCTGTACTCACACTGGTTACCTTCTATTTTTTCGATTTTTCCTTGATATACAATATTTTTACTCGAGCATATTAAATGTATATCATATATAATTATACATAATATCAAATTGAATGTGTACAAAAAACGTAATCACTAATATAAATGTAAATGGTGACCGTGTGCGATACTATCAAAAGTAAATCTTTTGTCCGTTGCTTTGCCAAGTTCGGTTAATAAATTCCATTTTGAATTCCATACGTGTGTGTACCTAGGGTTTAATTGTTATTCCAACGTAGAGACAAATGTTTACATCATACATGCCAATGCAACACTGAAGCAAGTGAAAGCTGCTTCCAGTATACGTGCGTTGAAAATTGATTTTGTAGAAAAATTGTTTAACGTGATTATTTAATTCGCATGTTTATGCAACCACAGCCGAATATCCGATAATTTACCTTTCAGCCTCATTTGAATTCTCTAATTACATAAAACGCCCAACGTGTCTCTCCATTTCATCTAACCACATTTAATCATATGTTTTACATTAATGTTAAAGCTCCCATTTTTTTGTACAAATTATCCTAAATATTTAAAGCTCTCGAATTCCCCTATCACATCACTGCTTATTGCCATTGGTCTCCTCATACCCTTAAATTCTTGGTACCTTCCTCCGAAGTCTGTTTTATTCCTACTAATTTTCATTTCTTCTTCTTCAAGGGATAACTTTTATTTTAATTTAATTTAATTTTTATTGCAGAACGGGCCGTGGCCCAAGTATAGATAATTAAGATATAACATGACAATACTTTAAAATAATATTATACATATAAGAAAAATACCCAAAAAGGATAACATTACTGTAGTTCAACTAATATTCTAAAGAGACTGTGTCCTCATTGGCAATATGAATCATTCTAAAAATAGGTCGATTACGGGAATAATTAGTGGTGCAAATTGGAACATAAAAAGGATAAGTGAACGTGAATGATAATTAGGCACCTTGAAATTAATTTGGCATAATAATTCAAGGCCAGTCGATTGAGCCATCAATAAGTTTTCTTAAAAAAGCTTGATTAGCATAAATACGCCTGTCAACTAGGGAAAAAAGCTTTAATTTGTTTAGTATTGGCTCATAATCGTCTGGTAGATGATCAATTTTGAGTATCCAAGTAGCAAAACTAAGAAATTTCTGTCGAACCCTTTCAATCTGGCTAGCACTACTTGCAGTGTGAGGCTCTTATACAACAACGGCATACTTTAATATCGATCTGTCGAACGCATAGTATAATGCCTTAAGCGGAGCAATTAGATTAAATTCTCTAGCGAACCTTTTTATGAAGCCAAGCGTTTTTAGAGCCTTATAACATGCAATTTCAATATGGTCATGAAAATTTAATCCCCGATCAAATGTGATTCCAAGATCTTTAATCGTATTACTTACATTCGGAAGTTCGCTGCCATTCAGGTTATAATTCAATTCAAAAGGAGAATGAATTCTGAAGAAAGACATTAGACGGCATTTAGATAGGTATATTAAAATTCAAACCAAGGTAATCAGCCAAAGAACCTAATGCAGATAAATCACTTTGGAGTAAGTGACAGTCATTCATTGAGCTAATTAAAAAAAAAAAAATTGAAATAATTAGCAAATAAGAGAAAACGACTGTAGCGAACTGCGTTACTTACACTATTGATGGAGAGAAGAGTAACAGAGAGAAATTCCTTCGTTGAGGGACCCCAAATGGAATATTACAAACTTCTGACTTGACGCTAAATACCTATACATATTGCTTACGATTTATAAGATAGAAATTAAACCATGATAATAATAGTTCATCAAATCCACTGTTCTCAAGAATTTTCACCAGAATCTTATGGTTAACCCTACCGAATGTTTTATTAAAGTCAGTTAAGATAACATCTACTTGTTAACCACTTGCGAATGCATCAAAAACATAACAAAACGGAATTACAAGTCGTAGTTGAGCGATGGGGACGAAATCCATCATGGTGTTCTACGATTAAAATGTAATACTAAAGCTCAAAGAGTTTAGAAATATGACAAAAAATGGTAATAGATCGTTAATTTTCATGATTAGAGATATCACCAGATTTGAATACTGGTGTGACGGAACTGAGTTTAAATAATTAAACGCCTAAATCAAGATTCTTACGAAAAAGGAGTCATAAAGGAAAATAAAACGAAAATCGAATAGAGTAAAGAAATGTATTAAATTAATTCTCCTGACAAACCATCAGAACCAACTGAATTGTTGCTTTTCAGATTAGAGTTAGTACATGTGCGGATCCAGGGGGGTAGGGGCGTCCCTCCCTCCACCCGGTGGCCTATAAAAATGTATTAATTTAATTTGATGTACTACTAAATTGCATTATCTTGCGTAATAACATTCTAATGTATTATTAATATCACACATTTTCATCTTTTATTTTTATAACATAAATTACCTAATGAATAGTCGATAAGAACAATATTATTGTGACTGTATGATCGACGACAACCGTCAGCCGGCCAGCCCCAGCCGACTCATAGAGTATACTTATTTATAATCCACCCCTCCCGTTATGGTAGGCTGGAACTGCGCCTGAGTTAGTATGAACTGAGTAAAAAATGATGCATCCATGTCTCATGATCCGAACACGGTAGTTGTTGAACACGATCACTAGTATACTGAAAATGTGATTTCGAACAGTATTAAATGCGTACAATGTACTCCAACGATTTTTAATAGGTAATGTTTTATCGTCATTTCTATAAAAATATTTTTCTGACTAAATTTAGCCGTTTTAATATTAGCTTACAATATTTTAAGGTACACACTATATCAACAACCGAACGTATCTCACTGCAGTACTTGACGTACGACTTAACAAAAAACAAAAATCGAAATCACACATATAAATATATGTTTTAAATGTGCCCCAGGTCATTGTGCAAACGTTTGTGTGCTTTGACAACGATTATGTTGTAATGTGCTTTGACCAGGTCCTGTAGGCCAGTGCAACATACATACTCGTATGGCTTGACGATGACAGCAACGGATTTAAAATACATACGTGCACGGGTGTGAGCAGTACTAATGGTATTAAATTACATTTATACACATAATAATACAAACGTTTAGTCTTTTTTTTTTTTTAAAGTTTTAGTTTTTTTAGAACTCGCACGCCAAGTAGAATAAAAAAAATAACAATGCCTACGACATAAGATTTGTTGAGCGGCACCTATTACATTTATGACTATCACGTATATCCATCATTACATTTGTATGTATATGACGGTATTTACATAAGAGCTTTAAGTCGGTCTTTGTTAACATAAATAATGGTTCTCGTTTGAATTTTAATTTGTATAGTTAAAACACATTTTCTCTTTACGATTAGAAAACAAATTATTACAAAACTTCAATACCCCGAATTATTGATAAATTGTAATGTTTTCCCGTTGGTTATTATTTTTAGGTTATAGAATATAACTATTTGGCTCGTAAAATCTAAAAGATATATACTTAAATGTTCATATGTTTATACATATATGTATATTATTATACAATAAGAAAAATGTTTTAATTTACATTTTTCGTCGTTATTGTGTGATACACATAAGTACACTGGCCCACGAAGTTAATCCTAAAGCATTGTGCAAATGTGGGTGCAAATTATATTCGTTTACGTTAAATATTGATACATCGACTTTTGGTACTTAATAATGCGTGTTTAACTTTTTTTTCTTCAACTACTCTAATCTAAAACATCATACGTTTATTAAATTACTACATTATGGTGGACTAAGAATCGATTTTTGAACTTGTTAATAAATACATTTATGTAACGAACTAGAATGTTGAAAATGGAATAAAATATGATTCTATTATTATTGATAAAACTGTATCGAACGAACTGTTATAAAACTTTTTATAGGTTTCCTTGTTCCTTGTTATTTAAAAAATACATTTTTTATAGAACATTTTTTTAAAAGTACTCACAGTTATCAATCGCTACGAACTCGCATCGATACGCCACAGTTAAAACTGCCGTAGCGCAAATAAGCATTATTTTAAAACAATCGTTCCATATAATATTAAATTGTACAAAAGTAATATTGTATACCGAGTTACATAGATCTCTCATTAAACCACTACTCAGTTAATCATGCAGTAGATATAAAAATGATCGTATATTCGTATATAATCGTAACTATTATGATTACATATTTTATTTCGTTAATAATTATTATAAAAAATTATTATTGACTATTATTCAACTAAAGAGGATACCACATAGGTACGTATGTTTTTATCTCTGTCTGACTCACGTAAAATACAGCAAATTTGTTTTTAGAAGTTCAAATAAAGTGATATTAGCTCTAATATTAGAATAGACTGACCTATAATCAAACTTTGAGATATGTGATTATTTTATTGGTTTTTTCGAAATTTTAATTTTTAAACGAGTTATGAGATTTTTTTTTTTTTAATTTTAATATTTTACATTCTCAACATTGACAACACATGCGGATGTGGCATCTGTTTTGGATATAATATTAATAGATACAATTTGTATTTAATACAAAAAAATATTTATCGGAGAATAAAAACAATTGAAATCACTTAACTGTATTTAAATATTTCTTTCGAATTAGGTATAGATGTTATTAACTATATATGAGTACTCATGTATGAAATTCCCTGTCAGGCTACATAAGTCATCAATAATGATAATATTCTTATGGTTTGATTAAATTATTACATTTATAAATTTAATTTATACATGTATTTTCAAGATACACCATAATTTTTTGCACGTATACCTTCAGTATGACGTAAATTCAGCAGATATACTCATGTATTATCAAATGTATATCTGGAATATATATTTACATTACAGAGAAATAAAATTATTGGTGAACCCTACCACTAATGGTCATTAAAAAATGAGGTTTGGAATTTTTACTTTTTACATTTTTATATTTCTTATCATTAATTGTTAATGACTCATTAATGCCACGAGTGATGCGTTAATTATAACATTTTGTATACATATTTTGGTACAAACGTGCTTTTTTCACATAGCTATATGTGTTATTATTAAAAACACATGTTTAAAATATGATCATGTGGAAGTTTAAAATATATGATTTATTAGAGATGTTTCAACGTCTCATTGTGGTATATTTTTATTATTATATGTTCTTCAAATATAAGTGGAATGTATAATGCGATGATATAGGATGGTTTTATGTATTACATATTTTTATATTATTTATATTCATACTTAACGCGTTTGGCTATTTCTCTTATTATTTAAAGTACGAATTACAATTGAAAAAATACATTTTGAAATTAAAGTATTGAAGGATAACATGAACGTAAGTAATTAAATAATATAATATTGTCAATAAAAATATCTAGTCTATTTATTTCTGTAATGAGTAAAGTATGAGTAAATTATCGTAAGGTTTTTAAATTTATTTTCGTTCTGAAAGAGTGGTGCATAATTTATATTCTAACAATTACAGCAAAAAGAATTATGTAGTAATTATTTTTTTTAATATTATAAGATTTTGATGTTGTCCTCAAATAATTCGAAGCGCTTAGCTAACAGTACATTAATACGATGGTTCTATATTGTTATCAAGTTAAAATAACGATTAATAAATTAAATGTGTTATATTAAATTTTCAGATATATGAATTTAATTGATGACGAACAAGCTGCGTACAATTAACTTTAACATCGTGTTGTCAATCATTGTAAGTTATTTATTGTTATCAATTATGAAATGCATAGAACCAAATTAGACGTTGATTTTCCGACATTAATGTTTCATCTAAAAAACACAAACACAATTGTATTATTGAAATGATAAAATAAATTCAATCTATAATGCTAGTATACGTATATTAATTAATAAATAATTTGAAAATTAAATTTTCACTACAATTCATTTAAATTTAATTGTATTCGAAACTAGATTTTACGGACCTCATAAATAGCCTACGAGTAAATATTGTAAATACACCCACACTGAGTGGAGAAGATTTAAGGAACCGCAAATATATAATATACTTGTTCCCTTGCCTATGCGTCTCCCGAGTTGCATCTATTGTAAATCTAATTTTCCAATCATAACAATTGAATAACAAATTAAGTGCCCTAAAGGCAAACCTAGTGGCTTTTTCATAGTATCGACTACAATTAAAAAATCCAATCTTAGTACAATCATTCATTCATTTAATCAATGGTATAATATAGTACGAAACTGTAGATTGTGGGTGAAGTGAGTTGTATATCGTTTAAAAATGTTTAGTCAAACAAACAGATTTTTAGTACTTTGCTACCTAGGTGATTTAATAATAAAGAAATTTACAACCTGTATTAAACTAAATGCAATAAGCAAATGAAGAAAAATACTCATATGTACAAAGAATAACAAATAAAATGGTATAATAAGGGAGGTTATCCAGTGATAGAACCTTGTAAAATTAATAAATGTATCAGTTAATGTATTTCATGGACGTAACTTGAGAAATTTTTTTAATAGGGGAAGTGAAGTTTAATTTTATATTGATAAACCGTATACTTAAAAACTAGATATAGGTACTTGATCTGCATCATGATGTATTTTGTGATGGCGAATGCTATTGAACAAATACATTTTGATTAATCCATTAATTTTTTTTTTTTAAACAATTATATTAGTATATTTATTGATAAAATAATTCTTACAAATCTAAAATGTATTTTTATAATATTTTTCTAATTAATTTACAAAACACTAATGGGTCATTACCCCGTTAAATTATTAGAGGTGGAGCACCCTCTCACTCTCCTAGTTTATGCCTTTGATGAATTTGTTAAAATTGGCTTAAATTATCCCTACACCAGTGTTTTATGAGATGACGAGAAAAATTGTCAAGCAATGCGAGAGAAGATAAATAGGACGGAAGAGAGTTTTGATGTTGCTACAGTTTGTTGTGAAATGTAATGTTATATCGTTTGGTCAGTTGTTCAACAGTTTAGATTTTTAAATCTTAATGGAGTGTGTTACGTATCATGGGACAAAGACTATGTGACGAAGGGTTATAGACTGAAACGATTATATACAATATATACCAACCATATATGGTTCGTGGTTGGAATAGCTTGGCGTTACCCCAGATTTGTGAACCTTAAGGGGTCTTTATATGACATTAATACATTTTTCGAAAGTTTGGATTTGAGTGTTGGGCAAAGCTTATGTAAGCGATTATTTAATAATTTCCGTTTGGATTTTAGGTATAGGCTTATGTTAGTTGTGTATTGATTACGATTTCTAGGTATTTAATTTGTAGTGTTGTTGGGATTTTAACACCGTTCAATGGAGGAGATAGTAAATATTGTCTTTTTAATTATAAATGGAACACGAAAAGATTTTTTAAAATTTATTTTGATTCACCACCTGATTGTCCAGATAAATATTAAATTAAATTAGTTTTGAAAATGCATACATTAAAGACAAAAAACATTAATTTTTAAGCTACCCATCAAATTAAGAGCATTTAATTTTAATTTGTATTCTAAAGGATCACTATTTATAAAATGGTGTAGAAAAATATGCGGAGGATATCTTGACTCCGTAGACCCTCCTAGTTACGTGATTGAATTAATAATCTACCAATATCATTCTTATTTTTGCGTTATAACAATACTATTAATCGTATAACAATAAATAATAATAAAAAAAAAAACTGAGTCACGTAGAAATTTTCATCCAGCTTCGAAGTGGGAAAGGGGTTGGCCCGTACCAATTGGAACTCCCCCGTCCAATATACCCGTTGTGAGTACGACGCCGAGTGAAATAGATTTTTAGAGTGGCGTGGTTATAATATTGGGACGATTAATTGTTCAAAACCGAATGGTGTTGAGTTATCAAATGGTTTATAAAACGTACAATCATCTCGTACCGTATCTGTTTTACGAATAGATTCGCCCAGTCAGTGGCGTAAACTAGGTGGTGAAAATGTGGCACTTGCACCACAACATCTAATATGTGGTTGTACGAGGTATGTTTTTGCACCACCAAAAAATCGTTGAAATTTGTATACTTGTAATAATATTTATAAGAGCCAAGGAAACCAGCACACTAAAAAAAAATGTTGATTGTTTTTTTTTTTTTTATTAATATTATAATAATAAAGGTTTTACCGTTAAAATAATTCTAAATGTATTTATTATTTAAAGAAATATATGGGAAAATACATAGTTTATTGGAAAGGATTTTTACTTAGGAAGTTGGAAATTATAAGTTGAGAATATGCTTCTGCACCATCAGAAGTCGGACTCAATTTACGCCACTGCGCACAGCTCAAAAACGAAACGGACAACCATTATTTAATATTTCGCCCCCCTCGCGCGCGCGTGTGTGTGTATGCAGTGCCGATTCGGCGCGCGAACAATCGCGTAAAAACAGAAAGTCCGCGGCACAACCGAACGGCTCGAAAACCATAATTTTCCTTTCGACGAGGTTGTCTCGCGGCGGGGCCGGGAAGGATTGAGAACCCGGTCGACAATGCCCCGAATGGTGGGGGAGGGGGGATGCGTACCCTGTTCGGGTAGGAGCGCCGCGGGGGCGGTGCCAGGGGGTTACCTGAAAGAGCGTACGACCGCGATCGCGTCGCACGTACGCGCCAGTTTTGCGCGCGTGCGCGCGCGGGCCGCCCCGCCGCGGGGCCGCGCTGCCGTCGACGCCGTTCACCACATCTGATAACGGCGCGGTGCGCGAAAAAAAAAAAATTCATCGGCCGGCCGACGCGACTGCTGCCGCCGCCGGTGGTGCCCGCGCTGGTGGCCGAGGCGCGCGCGGTCAGTGTTTCCGCAGAGCAGACCGCTGTCGACGTGCGCCCCGCGACGACGTGTGTGCGTGTGGTGCCGTGTGCGTGTTTCGAATTCGCGACGTCCGCCGATTGTTACCCGACGCTGCGCGCGACCGCCGATCCGGACATCGTCGTTGCGTTTATTCGCGGGCGCCCACCGTGCGCGTTTTCCGGTCGGTACGTTTTAAACGTTTTGCGCGCGCGCGCGCGCGCACGCACGGGGAGGACGCGATAACAACATCAACAACAACAACGACGACGACGATAACGATAAATAGTGTTGTGGCCGTGATCTAACGATCCGTTTCGCGTCCAACGTCTTCCCGGGGTCGTCGTGCGCGTACGCGAATCGTTTCGCCTCCGACCACT